TTTTCCTTACTTCTTATTTTTTGCCATTTATTGACCTGTTGAAAGTAATTAGTACTAAACATCTTTATCTTCTTTCTTAACTGGCTCTAAACGCATTATAAATCTCAATCTCAGAATTACGGATTTCTTAAACAGTCATGACTCTTGATAATCAAGTATAACAGAAAGAGAAGTGACAGAAGAAATCTTTTGATTGCATTTCTGATTATGAGCAAGCCTTGTTCTACTCGATTAATAATATTTCTTTTATAGATAACTTTAAGAACTAGATTTCTGATAAAATCATTGAAAATGTATTGCATGAATGTATCAGTTTCTCAATACCAACGTCTCATTAAAAAATTTGTTTCTACAATAAGAAGTTTTAGTAATCAAATACAATCACCTTTATTATTAAATAACATTCATAATCTTTCAGGTAACAGCACATCACTCTGACTTACCTCAAGTGATATAATTTAAATCCTAAATAGGTTTTTGCCCTACTTTGAACTTTCTAGTACGGCATTAAAGAATTCACTTAAAGTTCAAGCCCGTAACCTCCAGGTTCGGTGACTGTTGATTAAAAAACTCAAAAGCGTAGGTTTTTGGGGTCGGTTCACTTTCCATAAAGCTAAACTTACAACCAGGTTCATAAATGAGCTAGTACTTCATTCTTAACTTGTTTCACTAAACAGATTCTGGCTTACGAATGAGACTTCTAGATCATTATTTTAGTTATTCACGATAATAAAAATGATAATATGACCAGTGGTTTTATGAAGATTTTTGCGTATAATTTTGAGTAGATTGTTCATTCTAAATAGTCCGCGAAACTAACAAACTCAACACCATTTCCGTGACTTAAAATTGTAGATGATGAGATGAATTGCACTTAGTGAACGTTTGGGCACTTACGAAGAAAGTGAATAAGAATGTACTTAATTTGAATAAATGGTTTTGAATATAAAACCTCCAAATAAACCGAGCTTGTTAACTTTTATTAGCTGATTATGAGAACAAAAGAATGACTATCAATCTTTACAAAATAGTAGAATAGCTAGCAGGCTGATACTAATTCAGATTACTGAATAATACATATGCAGTAATCAATTACTAATCGCTATTCAACGTGCTTCCCGCTATGACGGAACACTACCGTTGAAGTTAGTTTACCGGAAACTGCTTAAATCTTACAAAACATCAAACAATTACCCACTAGTGGGCAGATGAATATCATCAGTGTCAGAGTTTGTGTAGATTGGTAAATTTTCAAGATACATTGACACGCTATAGCTGAAGCAATTCAAACACTACGATCAACACAAGACCCGTGTACAGAGAGAGTGAGCATGTGCTAATTTGGCTAACATAAAAAAAAATCTTCACCATAAAATCGCCAACCAGGAGTAATTACACTCGACGCTAGGAGTAGAGTCTTGCAAAAGATGAAGTGCTGTTTAAGTGAAAAAATTTGAAATCATTATTTCAACCTAGCTTGAGTTTGAAAAGGAATCTTGGAAGAAATACGACAGTCCTAAGGTATAGATTTCCGTTTACATTGAAATCTTGAGATCGTGGATTTGACCCTATGTGACGTCACAACTGTATACCTTTAAAGATTTCGAAACTATGATGAAACAGCTATTTTTCAAGGATTCTCCAACCAAGTTATGATCGATGAAATTATCGAATGATAACAATAGATAACCCACCAAATATTAGTTGATTGAAGTTAAAGATAATCACTAGTGAATTTCAATTCAGTGGTTAAAAGGCAGTGCTCTAACCGTAATACACTTATATGGGTGTGAACTGTTGACGAGTAACAAATAGGGATGCGACAACTATCAAATGTTCTCAAACTGGTAATAGGTGATGCTAAAATATTTTTATAGTGGAACAGCATTCATAATTTATCCAACTAAACGATACTAATTTCGATCTGTCACGTAGTGGCTTGATGTATTGTTCTCATACCAATTTCAGTACTGATGTTTTAAAGATAAATTAATACTTTGGTGTAAGGACGATAAGCTGAGCTGCTATAAAATATGATTAGTATATTTCTAAGTAATTCGATTAAGTAATACGACAATGCACATAGGGGAATGGAATGTCCTAACAGTGTGGGATACAAGGAGGACCATTCAAATATTCTCAGATATAAGAAGATACAACACGTCGCCACTTCGTATCGAAATGCATTGAACATAAGCTGAACAAAAAGACTAGCTTCGGGAGAAATGCTGTTGTATTCTGGTCATCAAGTACCTGGGATAATCGTCATCATCATACAGAAGTCATGCGACTGTCTGAATCCCAAGTCATCCATAGAGGAAAGTTCACAGGTGTATTCCAAGTGTAGACTGGAATCAGACAAGGTTGAATACTATCATCTTCTGGTTGTCAGGTGAATTATGAAGACCTCCACATCTCAGGGCAAGTATGGAACAAAGTAGACACTTTAAACACAACTTGATTGTTTGGTCTTCACAGATAACTTTACACTTCTGTCTCATAAGTAACAGAAAGTGCACATAAGGACAGTCAGTGTAGCAGCAGCAACAGCAACCTCTACAACAGTGGGTCCAGTCATTCACAATGGGGAAAAGCGATATCCTGAAATACAATACAGAGATTATCAACAAAATTACACTTGACGGCTAGGCTTCTTCACATATCTGGACAATGTCATTGATAAACAAAGGTGATCAGATACGTATGTGACAGTACGGATTGGCAAAGCAATAGTAGCATTCCTATAGTTGGGGAATATTTGGAACTCTAAAGAACAGTCAGCCAACACCGAATTCTGAATATTCAATACAAACCTCGAGACAGTTCTATCGTACGGAGTCAAAACTTCGAGACTACTACAACCGTCATCGCAAATGTACAGGTGTTTGAAATTAGCTGTCCACTCAAGATACTCCAGACCGATTGATGAGAGACCATCAGAAATAACCTACTGTGACAAAGAACAGACCAGCTTCCTGATGACGACAATATTAGGAAAAGACGCTGAAGTTGGATAGGACACACTTTACTTGAGTCATCAAACAGCATCACAACACAGAACCCAACTTGGAATGCTCAGAGCGAAATGAACAAGCATACAAAAGAACAGATGGCGCTGTGAATCGTAAGCAGGCATTGAAAGTATGAATAGCACAAGGGAACAACTGGAAAACAATTCAGGATTGATTAACAGGAAGGGACAGCCCAGGGTAGAGCTCATTTGTTGTTGCTGATGGGCAGCCTAATCTACCCTAAGTCAAAGCGGTAAGGAAGACGTTTACTTTAGTATCAACCATACTATTTTGATTGAACACTCCCTATGTAAATGAATGATTGAGTGATTAAGGATAGAGTTCACTTTAATCTCTGCAGCCCTTCATGGATAGACGTCTAGTAGGATAACGTCGAAAACGTAACACCTTGTCTAGCGCTTCTTATTGAATGATTACTTAAGTTCACTAACGTTATAGAACTTTGTAGTAATCCTGTCTCTCTTATTAACTCTTGAGATAAGGATTGTTGCAATCAGTCAAATACTATGTAGTTCCACTCGGTCGTCCTACTGATTATATAAATCATAATTTTAAGTTTGAGACATCTATTTTTAAATTTTGTAAAAATCGTTTTCAACTAGCATATTTTTAATGATCAGATTTGTTGTTTGTCGACATTTACGAACACTATTTTTTATAACCTTATTTTTTGAAGCGCCAGCATCATTGATGAGCACGGTGGATCTGATGCAGATGTGAAAGTGAGGATCGTCAAAGCAAGAGCAGCATATCTACAATTGGAGAACGTCTGGAAATCAAAACAACTGTCCGTCAACCAACATCAAGATCGGGATTTCCAATACAAATGTCAAGACAGTTCTACTGTGTGGGGCGGAAACTTGGAGAACTACGAAAGCCATCATCCAGAAGATACAGGTGTTTATAAACTGTTCTACGCAACATACTTCTGATCTGTTGGCCAGACACTATCAGCAACAACCTACTGTGGGAGAGAACAAACCAGATTTCAGTGGAGGAAGAAATCAGGAAGAAGCGCTAGAAGTGGATAGGACACACATTGGGGAAATAAGTCAACTGCGTCACAAGGCAAGCCCTCATATGGAGTCCTCAACGCCAGCTGCGAAGAGGAAGAGCAAAGAACACATTACGCCGAGAGATGGAGACAGACATGAGAAGAATGAGCAACAGTTGGATAGGACTAGGACAGCTCTGTCCTGCACAATTCTTTTCATATCTGCTTCTTTATCCCGGCGTAATGTGTTATTTGGCCATCCTCTTTCCTTCCGGATTCCAAGATAGGGATTGCCTCGTGATGCAGTTTGGTGATTTCCCTAATGTATGTCCTAACCACTTCCAACGTCCTTTCCTAATTTCTTCAGTTGGAAGCTGGTTTGTCCTCTCCCATAAAACGCTGTTGCTGATAGCATCAGGCCAGTGAATGTTGAGTATTTTGCGTTAACAACTGTTTATAAATACTTGTACCTTCTTGACAATGGATGCAGTGGTTCTTCACGTTTCAGCTCCGTACAGTAGAACTGTCTTGACGTTCTCATTGAAGATTCTCACTTTGAAATTAGTTGAGAATTGTTTCGAGTTCTTCAATTGTTGAAATGCGATCCTTGCTTTGCCAATCCTCGCATTTACATCTGCATCAGGTCCTCCTTGTTCATCAATGATGCTTCACGGGTGCGTGAATGTTTCCACCTCTTCCACAGTTTCGCCATCAAGTGTGACCGGGTTGGTGTTCTCCGTGTTGTATTTGAGAATCTTGCTTTTTCCTTTGTGTATGTTGAGGCCTACTGATACAGAGGCTACTGCTACATTGGTTGTCTTCATCTACATTTGTTCGTGTGTATGAGAGAGGAGGGCTAGGTTATCTGCGAAGTACAAATCGTCTAATTGGTTCTGAGATGTCCATTGTATTCCGTGCTTCATAATCGAGTCAATCACCAAAAGAAAGAGGAAGGGGGAGAGTAGACAGCTTTGTCTGACTCCGGTCCTTACTGGAAACGCACCTGTCAGCTGTCCTCCAAGCACGACTATAGAGTGTAGTCCGTCGTATGAGTTCCAGATAATGTTGACAACCTTCTCAGGAACCCCATAGTGATGTGATACTATGTCAGTTCCTCTACTAGTTCCCACATGTTCCACTGTCCTTCGGAATTTTCTGTTGATACAAATACGATCTATCTGGTTCTCTGTAGTGTGGCTCGGCGAGACACATGTAGCTTCGTGTACGCGTTTGTGTGGAAATATTGTGCCGCCTATAATCAAATTGTTGAATGCACATACATTTGCAAATCTCTCCCCGTTTTTGTTTCTCTCTCCTAGTTCATGCCCCTTCATTATATCTTTATATCTTATTTTGTCCACTCCGATGTTAGCGTTTTAAATCTCCCATCAAGATGGTGAGGTCCTTTCTTGAGCATTTAGCTATGATTGGTTGCAGCCTCGAGTAGAACTGATCATTACCGTCGTCGTTGCTATCATTGGAGAGTGCATAACATTCATTTGTGATCCCCTTCTTTGTTTGAATGATGCTTCGATAATTCTGGATCCATGAGATTCCCACCCTGCAAGTGCATTTCGTGCTTCTCTGGACAGCATTAGAGCAACTCCCCGAGTTTGTGGTGCATTTTCTTCTTCCTGGCCAGAGTACAGCAGCACCTCTCCCGTATCAAGCCTTTGCACTCCAGCTTGGGTCTCATGGGTTTCGCTAATTCCGAGTAATGCCAATTTGTATCTCCTCAGTTCTGATCAAATGGTTTTAATTACTTTTTCTGGTAAGCGTTTTTTAAGCGAGTTGGTTTCCCACCCCATGCCCAAGCCTCCTCCTTTACCCGGGCTAAACAACAAATCTGTCAAAATTTACACACTGTAATACACCTACGGCTAGAGAGAGAATCTTCTCTCATATTAAAATCTAAAAACCTTGAAGTCACGATTGAGACTCGCAAGTGGCCGCAAAAATGCAGTCAACTGTACCTTATTGGATGAAAACGTGGTGTATTATTGTTATAAGCTCCTACACAATTGGTATCAAATCAAAGTAGTTAGTAGTCTGAAAACAAATTGTTTTAGAACCGATCAAAGGAAATCTAAACAACTTAGAATACATGCTCTTTCTACAATGTGAACAATTTCATCCACTGCATGGAATGCGACGAGAGCACAATGAATTCTGTAAAATTTCAAAACGAACTTATCAACACTTACGAAAGTGTTGAGATTTACTCATATAGCTGACCAGAGCGACAAAGAAAAGTGGAAGTGTCGGTACATAAACTTTCCAAAGGAAATCACTTTGACGAACCCATATATTTTCGACTAATAATAAGAACATTGGACAAATAATAGTAGGATGCTTGATCTATGATACAGTACATTACACTGACGCGGATACGTCAACCAACTGACCGTGTAGTAGGACAGAAAAACAAACGAGGAAGCTAAAGTTCACTAAGAAAATTTTGGCAATTGCTAAAAATGCAACAGCCTGTAAAGATTGTTAACTTTGCCCTCAAAATGATATATATATATAATCTATCCACTGGTAGTATGAGAGAACATAGATGTCATAGTAATCAAAATTACAGATTATAACAAAAAGAGAATTTGAAGGTTTTGTTATAAAGGGAAACGATCAGAAATGTAATACGGATATGATTTGATTACAGTTATATGAATGTTAATTAGTAACAGTCTGGATAAAAAAAACTTCACTACAATTTGAGAGCGGCTAAGATAGAGGTATGCTATTCATGTATAATAGTTTGTTCAAGTTATAATAATAATAATAATAATACGCAAACCACAGCAGAATCAGGTGAGTACGAAAGACAAGCATTTAATAGAGAGGCAGTACAAAAGTGAGGTTTATTTTTGAATGTAATAGCCTCCAACTGAAACTAGTTTAACACAAGGAAATTGTAATCGAAAAATTATTTATATAGAATGGCAGCATCAAAAAGTTGACTTGCGGGAAATTAAACAACTCACTAAAATTAACATTATGAATAGATGGAACAAATGATAGAAATTTTATCAGGAATTAGATTGACAAATCAACTACATCCAAGATTACTTTAGGATTATTAGAAGAATCATGTGCAACGAGAGATCAGGTATAAATGTATCGGATCGATTTCAAACAAAAAGCTGTTTTTAAGCTTGAATATATATATATATATATATATATATATATATATATATAACATGCTAACAATGTAAACGACTACTTTGCAACCGGGAGACAACCCTGAAATCTAAACACGACAAATACACAGAACGCAAAGAGAGAGCAAGTAGAAAATCGATACTGATAACAAACATAACTACAAATAATCCTGATCATTTTAGTCATAATATTATGAACGACCTTTCAATTCGCTAAATTTATTAACTACATTTCGCAGAAATGAATAAACAAGAATAGAAGCACATTTTATTCAGTCGAAAGTGTAAACGAACAGATAGTAAGGAGTTATCAATCCAAAAGTCAAGAGCAGTTTACGTTTTAAATTACCTCTTCATGTTAAGTGCGTGGTGTGAAAACCCCTGCTGACAACAGAATCAATAACTAATTACCACCACTAGGCTTTACTGTAGGATATTGTTCTTGGTAGTACGGTTGCGGAGTCGATGGATTGACACCAGGGAACGCAGTGCTAACTTGAGGACATACCCAACGATTTGACCCAGCTGTTGATATACCAGGGATCCCACTCAAGATACCGGAATTTCCGCTACCATTACCACTACCACTATTCCAAGGATATATATTTGCCATCGCCGCCATAGCTGCGGCCATTATTGATTGTTGATGCTGGTGTCCTGCCACTCCATTAACAGCAGGTAAGGTGTTTGGAAGAATAGCTGAATTATTATAGATGTTCATATCATTCGGATTACAAGGAGGAACTTTCATGGGTGGACAGGTGACAGGATAGTTATTATTTAGGTTGTTAGAAGGCCACATGGGAGGAGGCCAGTTAGCCGGTGAATTAACTGTCCCAGAAACACCACTAACTAAGTTTGAGTGTTGTTGTTGATGCTGTTGCTGCATCCAATTCATCGTAAACGCCATTAACAAATTATTAGCATTGGAATTAACGGAACACTGTTGAGGAGAAGGAGCTTGTGGATGCATCGTCGCTAAGGGATTGGCTACAACTGGCGCTGCTGAGTTGACAGGCCCAGCTAGATTATTATTGCTCGACATATTGGGATAAACTATACTCGAAGAAGTGACAGACGTAAGAGTGTTGGCTTGTCGGCGACGTTCAGCGCCGATTGGTTGTATAGGAACGGGTTGGTTTTGAACAGGACCTTGCGCCGTATTTGATGGAATACCTAACGGAACTCCAGCACCTACTGTCGGAGTACAAACCGTTCCCATATGGGATGAAGAACTGAAACCTAAATTGAAAGTAGGGCAAGAAAAGAAAAGAAAAACCGTTTATTTTAACGAAAATACATTTCCTTAACAAGATGTTGAAAGAAAGTAATATCCCATATATCTAGTATAGTGCTGAAGAGATCCAATCAACAATGATATGTAAAACTAGTCCTTATCTCAACTGACCAACTACATAACACAAGTGTAGGATTAAAGCATAGCTGAAATTTCCAGAAAAAGATATGGTTGGTGAACAAAATTGGGAAAACAGGCCAAGAAATTTATGATACAACGGCTAATAACACTGGTATTAAGCGATATCTAGAATTCATATGAATAGCTATCGAACGATTCATTTTAATATGTTCGATATGACAAATTACCCAAGAAATTGAATATTTTTTAGTTCAGCTTTGTATAGAATAACACAAGAACTGAAAAGCTACACAACATATATTCTTTAAATGCAGACATGCGTCAAAGTAATGTTATTTATTAGCTACAATCTTAACACAACAGTAAATCTTATTACAACTACAATAATGTGGTATAAAACCACCAGAAGAGTAGATTGTGCTCAGAACTGCTAAAACTAGATATCACTGAAAACATTACCTTACTACATAAATTCATGCTCAAACAATAGAACACAAATAAGTTTAAATCAAGTGGAGATGTATAAAGAAAGTTAGACATGTTGATTTTCATCACGGGACAAACCAATGAAGTGTAATTCAGTAAGTAAGCACATGTGATACGCTGCCGGGCTGTTTAACAGTACGAACCAACTGCAAAGAAACTTGGAGAAGCAAGTCGAATCTGATACGCACTGGTTAATTGTCTGTATGGGTGAGTAACAATGTTGTTTTCATCGAAAAAAGCTTCACATACAACCACTTATAACTTTCAAGGTAGATTTTGAAGCCTACTAAACAAACAATTGTAATGTACTGTTCTATGTAATGTTAAAATTAGAACATACACAAGAGGCGTTGTTCAACAAACGTTACATAAAAGTTTTGATGTAAACACACTTTTACGAAAACTTTTAATTAAGTGTTAATTTCGCAAAAGGCTTAAACTATATTAATTAACAAAGTCTTTACCGTTAATCAAATGAGATGTATAGTTTGTATTTGGATGGATGACTGACGTAGAACTACACACAGGTTGGATGCTAGGTTGAACATAACCGGTCATAAAAGGAGGAGGAGTGTAAGATCCACCTGGACCAGATGAACACATAGATAATTGTGTTTGATTAATCATAGGATGTGATGAGTTGCCCAAACGAGTTGACAATCCACTAGTGGTATGTTGATTTAAGGCTGAAATAGTACCTGGGCCTAAAGAAAGTTGCTGTTGTAATGGGAATGACTGCTGCTGAGTTATAGGGAATATGGAAGAAAATTGATTATTCAAAGACATTGAAGATGTCGATGGAGAACAAAAACCACTCGGAAAACCATTCAATGCTGTAGGTCGTGATTCTAAATATGCAGAGGTACCAGACATTGGAGGCTTGAACCGGAAAGACGCATTTAGGGGAGCATTTGCTGAGGATGTTGGCAACAAACTAGGCGTGCTTGAAATGTTTAAACCTGAAGAGCAATTACTATTCTGAGTTTGTTGATGAGCGGACTGCAAATATGATAATCCAACAGGATTTGATTTCTGGAGAGATGCTTGTGTGACCATTTGACGCAAGACGCCAGATTGAGCTCCTTGGGTAGAGTATTGATCTTGAAATTGATCAGATACAGAGTGATTGGAGAAATCATTTCGAAGTAAGGAAGCCTGAATTAATGAGTCAGCTGACTCGGCACTGGCCTTCAAGTTTGGTACTACTTGATTAAGTGTCTGGAACGATGGCTGGAAACTTATTGAGTTGGGATTCAAATCGGGTCTCGAAGCAGACCATAATATTGGCATAGAGTGGAGAGAACCGATAGGATCACGCGTTTGTGATACGTTTGTAACAACTGGGAGAGAGTCCATAGCTGAGTGACTGTCGATGACCGAACTACCGACACTAGTGGACGTAATTGTTAGTGTATTGGAGGCTCCTGAGAAGGTAGTGTTCTTCACAAATGCAGAAGATGATTGTGCAGGAGCTGCAGATGGGTCAGAAGTTTGCCATTCACATGACCTATCAGTTCGAAAATGATTTGAGATTGAATCATGACGAAAATCAGGATTGTGAATGTCCGAAGCGATAGCCCGCTTGGTTGGTGTGAAAAGCGTAGTGTCATTAGCACCGCCGTTGACGGAAACATTTGAATTACCGTTAACATCCAAGGATAAAAGCGATGGTGGAAAGGAATCATTTAGACCAAGAGAGACGGAAGTAGCTGTTACATTTGCATTTCGTTGATGTGCGCTGCGTTCAGAACCCGGAGCTCTGGCAAATGACTTCGTTTGAGTTGTAGTTGTAGGAGGTGTAGAAACATAAGCTGGAGTGTGTGTACTACCGGAACCCATTGGAGTATTCGACTGAGAAGTCTGCACAACTCCACAGGTAGGGGAAACTGTCAAAGGTCCATAATTAGATGATGATGTGGCAGAAAGCGTTGTTAGGGGGAATGAATTTGAGACAGATGCTGTATGAACGGTAGAAACGGGACTGTCAAATACACTAATGGAAAGCATATATGTTAAGTCACCAGATGAGGTATTTATCTTGAGTTTATCCATTTCAAATGAAACACTTTCGACTGGGTAATTTACAGACGAAGAGGAAACGTGTGTGTTAGATAAATATGACGGATTCCTCATATTTGACACAGTTACTGCTGGTATTATTGTTGTCGTAGCTGTTCTCGATTGAGTAATTTTGGTGCATTTAGAAGGATTCAATGGTGGAAAGCTAACTTCATCTAAAGAATCAGTACAGAAATCCCCGACATTAGAAAGTGATGGGATAAAATCTGGAAACATATGGCTACTCGATGAAAACGGAGATAAATTGAGAGATAGTAACGAAACAGGAGTTGTTGTTGATAATGATAAAGCTGTAGCCGGTGCAGTCATTAAGTTTTGGACGGTAGTTTTTGACTGACTGCGAACACTTTTTACTATTTGGTTGTCTACTGGCTTAACGAGGCGCGATGAATGAGTACTTATTCCTGCTGCAGCAACGGAAGCGAAGTTGCCCTTTGAAGAGCTGGTATTTGAGACTTTAGAACTCCAACTCGCTGACCCAGAAGTTGATGTTTTCAGACCGGAAGATATCAAAGGAATCAGAGTGGATGCCGTGCTTGAAAAAGTGATATTGCTACTGTTATTAACAATGGGTGTTTTTGTGGGTTTTGAGACTACGGGCAGCGGAGTTGGTTGAGTTGAGGTAGATCTAGTGGTATTTGCAGCTAGGGGACTAGTCACAGATTTGCCAGTTCTACGAGGAGTTCTGTTACTTGGGTTGATAACCTTAACACTAGACAAACCGCTTTTAATTGTACTCTGGACTGTCACACTAGTTGTACCATTCAACCTGGACGAAAGAGAGCCTAAAGCAGTACTAGAAAGTGGCATGCTAGATGGTAGAGTAGAAGACTTTTTCAAAGCGTGATACATCAGTAGGACATCATTGCCAGCAATTGAACCGTCGAGAAGTCCCTGAATAGTTTCATAAGTTCGCTGGACAGCTTCGCTGGGACCTTTCAAATATACCATACGCTCTGTTACTTCATCACTTCGCGCACTTTCGATATCTATTTGAATCCCACTCATATTTCTTAGGGCACTAACAACTGCTCCACCCTGACCTATGACTTTCCCAATATCATGTCTTGAAACAGGAATTGAAAGTCGACGTTTATAAGAACTGTTGCTAGAGTTGGTAGTCTTCCAATCTGCCATCTCATTACCTACACGCGAGGAAACGTGTGTACTAACTGCAGTGCGTTGAGACCGTGTACTGTTAGATGGTACGACTACAGTCCATGTATTTGAATCACTGACAGCATTCGAACTTTTGCCTATATTAAAATACTGACCGAAATGTGCGCTTTGGGACTCAATGAGCAAGTTCCAGTTTTCATTATCTCCACTTGGAGAAAGAGCGTAACAAGGAGAGACTGAGGAATTAATAGGATCCTGAATTTCTGGGCTGGGTGATTTACTGACTTTATCCAAATCGAAAGGAGTGTTGTTCTCGGCAGCTGCACGTTTTGCTGCTCGTTGACTTTGTTTCTTGTTTCGATGTTTTTCACGTTTGGCTTCTGTTACAGCCGCGGCATTCGACTCAGCTTCTTGTGAGCAAAAGCTGTTATCGATAGAATCAGAATCCTGTTGAACATTGGGTTTCTCAACATTAGTTATGGACGAATCAGAATTAAGATGTACATCATTTACAATCTGTTGGTTAGGTTTACTAGACTCTGGTGACATGGATACAACAGTGACGGGTGAGCCAGAGGGATTGCGAAAAGCAGAACATTGCTTGTCATCTACATCATAAATTATAGCATCCGATAATTGATTGCATAGCGAAGATTCGTGGGCGTGTTGTAGGACACGTGATAGTGTTGGACTATGTTCAACGCTGAAAAAACAAATAAATAATACGTGGTTAGTATCGCAATGCTATAGCAGAAAAAATGTTAATTTATAAATAAATCTGACACAAAAGTTAAAACTCCGTCAAGTTGAAACCGAAACATACAATTAGATACACCAGCTGTAGTTGCCAGGTTTTGCGAGTTTCATCGTTAAGCAATAATTTGCCAACATGGCGATGTATCTAACCATCTGAAGTTAGAGGACCATAACATAACGTCCTCGAATAGTTTCGGATAGTTGCTCAACATTCGGATTCACAAACCATGTTATCTAAATGAAACTGTTGATGTAAGACTATATATACAAAGATATTATTCCAATTTAAATAACAAAAATCAACTGTTCATGCATTTTTAGAATCATACAAAAGCTTCATCCTATCTATCCAATAATGAAGGTAGTTCAAACTTAAAAAGAATCTCTGGAATGTCATACTCATAGTAAAAGTGGTTTTAATTCAGATAAGAAAAATATGTTGAATATTAAATTGGAAAGCTCACCAGTAGACCAGCACTAAAGTCATCTGTAAGGTCAATTGAAGATCCAGCAACCATGGATGAAGCGCTGCTTCCACTGCTGGTTGAACTACCTCCACTGATGCTACCAATACTATTAGTTGTACTAGATGATGGTCCCGTTCCACTAGCACCTAGTGTTGCCTGAGTTAACACAGTTTGAACACTAGTTATCCCGGTAACTGAATCGACAGCAGCAGTGACAGAAGCAGTTTGAAAATTTAAATGCGCATTGTGAGCCATAATCGAACAGTTTGTAGGTAGAGTAGTACATGATCCATTTGTCGATAAAGAAGTTCCAGGGAGAAGCTCGAATGTATTGTTGTTTGTCAACAAAATCTGATCATGCAATGGTCCAGAAGTATGTGTGTGTGAAAGTATAGCGCTGACTGGAGGACACATAACCAAAGGTGCATCCACTGTAAGTCAATCAACACATGAGAGTAGCAGTGATTATAAGAAGCTTATGAGTTTACGAAAAGTCAGTGAGTTAGCCAAATACATTCATCTGGATTATGATTATGCGACCAGTAACTAAATGGTAGATTGTTGAACTAATGAAGCCCTAAGTTTGACATACAACCTTAACCGTTTAGAACACTAACAATCCTTGGGGATTATTAGATGATAGTTCAGTTGAGACACAACTGTTTATCTGTGGAATTCGTTAGTTAAATGTGGAAAAATTTAAGGGATACCGTTTTTGGTTGTGAGAGTTATGCTTTTAATAGGATGCAAGCACTTATAACGTGCAGTTAACCAGATATATACAATCTATAGTATAAAGCCAACTACTAGTAAAACCATTAACAGTAAAGATCACTGGGGGTTTATAACATTTACATACACTACAAAAATTCCAACCTAATTCGTAATAACATAGGACTGAATTCATGACGGAAAGTGACTCAAATTATTAAACCACAATATAACTTACTCATAATCAAGAAAGACACAAATGGATGGAATTAAAAGAAGTTTGTTTTCAGCGAATTATGATTCCGGGTAAACAGTTTACAAACTTGTAGGCCATTTTTTAACACGAAAATGAGTTTCAACAAGTACGTTGCATACTCACTTGAGACATGGTCAGAATGTCACTTCATGGTGAGTGTGTAGCAACTAGTATTGTGACACACGCGATTTAATCTAAATCTCGGACAGATGTATTACTCCTATTTCTTAATTGTCAACCACATATTTGTCATTCATGACTACTTACTTGTAGCCTTGTCCATATTTTGCAAATGTTTGCATGCCAGTACGCATGTATCTATCCACTTCCTGTATTTCTTAGATGACTTGTAAAAAAAAGAGTCATCTTGTTACTTTTAAAGCCGGTGTGCCGTCGAGCTCTAATGGCTTATACAATCACGGCATCTTTAGCTGTCTGGTTGCCGAAATTAATTCATGAAACACAGAAATCAGCTGCACTCATATATCGACTTTGGATATACCGTTGTTCTAAACGTGTTAAGTCAACAAAACATACAAGAAGTAACTAGGATTTTGTCCACATTATTAATGATATGGTCACATCTGAGTTAGGCTAAGGGTAACTAGAGATATGAAAACGTAACAAGCCCTACTATGAATGTATATTAACATAAAATGCAAGGTCATCGACTGATGATACAGTTGATATAACTATTAAATCACCTTGTATTCACTAACGAAAAAATCCAGGGGGAAACAATAAAATGCAAACACATCCATGCTATAGTTACCAATATAGAAAAGGGGAATGGGTGAGTTTTTTCTGCTTTAGGTTTGTTTTGAGGTTATCTTTTCAGGAAAACACAGATTTTGATGAGCGAAGGGATGTCTAAAGTGACTATAAAAACCAATATGTATATTGCTTTTTGCATTAACCATCAGCGGAATTAACCAGAATCTTGTGTCTCTCAGCCCCGATCGGAATTTAGTGATACTTGTATTGCTACTGATTGAACATCAGTAGTCAAATAGGATTTGCGAAATTTAGGCAGTAGGTACTTATAGCGCTCACAAAATGTTTTCACGAGATAGTAAACAACCAAATTAGAGTGCAGTATTATTAGTTTATATTTTTTATCGGATTGGAATTAAAATTTCACCAAAGGGGAATTTTTAATACCCAAGATTTTATGCTACAGAAGACAGTTTATCTAAAAGCAAGAATATCCAGTACATAAGAATAAAACTGATCATTAGTTGATCATTACAATGGAAAATAAATACCTGAACTGGTAATAGCTGAGTTTATTGTGTGCTGCTGCTGCTGCTGTTGGTGAACCAAAGCAGCTGCTCCGGCCGCCCATCCAACAGCATATGCGTTGGCCAGTGCCGCATTTATATGAGTTGTGGGCTGAACAGAATTAGTTGACGTAGAAAGACTGGAAGGGGCCTGAAACGAAAGTTGTTGGTGTGAATGACAGGAATGCGAATGAGCTTGTGGGTGTAAATGTGGATGAGATGGGTCAAGGCACATATCCATGTTGGCTATTCCGGAAACAGAAATAGGTAAAGGAGGCGGGGGTGGTGGCATGATAACATTGCCGATTGTAGGTACGCCACTCACGAGCGATTGGTAAGCAGAACGCTGGTCATGAGAAAACTGGTGTTGGGTTTGATGTTGGTTCAATGTATTTGCAACAAGCTGAACAGAAGCATTTGGAAGCATGGACGATGGCTGACTGAGACATTTAGGATAATCTAAAATGAGTCTCAGAACTGCTGGATTTCCAGAACGAGCAGCTTCGATTAGCATTGTAGAACCGTCTCTTAACTGATATTGAGGATCAGCACCATGTTGAAGAAGGAACTCTACCATCTATGGGAGGAAATGTCAGTAAATAACAAGTTTAAGGGAGTTAAAGAATATTAGATTTCCTGAATACATAAGACGTTCTTACGATAAGGTAGTGGTTAAAATCCCTACAAACCACATTGCTTGATTAATGTATGGGGGTGATTGTCATACTCAGAAAACCAATGAAATGTTTATTTTAGCAAATGTACTGAACACTACTCTAGAGATAACTAACCTTTGCATGCCCGCCACTACAAGCTAATGACAAGGCATTGGCATCATTCTGTGAAGTAGGCTGGTCAATCGCTACTCCACGCTCCAAAAATAACTGAACAACTTCCAAATGCCCTGTTCTTGCAGCCTTCATCAATGGAGTTCGTCCTCCTTCTGTCATGGCTCCAAAAACGGCTCCCCAGTCGAGCAACTTTTCGCAAACTTTGACATGCCCATTTTCAGCTGCATAATGAAGCGCCGTGTCACCAGTGGCGGTCACTGCATTCACTAATGCTCCACGCTCCAACAAACGCCGGACAAGTTCTAGATGTCCCTCTTGAGCAGCTTCCATTAAAGGAGTAGAACAACCGACTCCACCAACTTCAATATCAGCACCAGCATTTAAAAGCATTTCACAGACTTCTATAAAACCACCACATGCCGCGAGCGTGAGAGCAGTTTCTTGGGTTTCCTCCGTTCTTGCGTTAACCTCAGCACCTAAACAGATCGCAAGATATTTTATATGAAAGCAAAGCAACCAGAAACAATATAACCTGAGTCCTAATTAGCACTTTAATATAGTCGCTTGTTGAACCAAATAACATTCCAAATGTGCATAATATGCATCTTAAACTCTAAATTTGATATCGTCGTATCATAAGATTGAAAATATTAGTGATCTTTCTTTAAAACATCAAATACGATATGGGGAACTATTATGAAACTCAGGCTGATAGGGGAATGAAGAGGGCTAAACATGGAGAATAAGGTTCTACGGAAAAGATATGAATTTGAGGAACAAGTATAGAATAAGGAAATCAGAGGGAAGAACAAATAATACAACCCTATTTAATACAAACTAACCTAACAAAAAAACAGAAAATCTTCTTGGATTCGCTGTTTGATTATTTCATATAGTTAGATGTGAAAACTTGACAAGAACGTAACACACGACACATGCTAACAGCAGGTCGGTCACTTAAGAAAAGTATTGACATATACGTAGCACCATTAGCCATAATGACGTAAATATTCAGAACAAGGCACATTTATGTAGTCTGTACTGAACATTAGTTATTTCTCAAAGATTTCTTTTTACTAAAACTCTTTACAGAATAAATTTTGAAGAAATACTCATCAACTCACCTACTGCAAGCAATAAAGCGACAGTTTCTTCATGACCTTCTCTTGCAGCTTCCATTAAAGGTGTATAGCCCTCATCATTCACTTCTTCAATATCTGCTCCATATCCAATTAACAAATGTGCAAGCTCAGTATGACCTCCACAAGCAGCCAAAGTTAGAGGGGACTCAAAACTATCTTGTGGTATGTTCACATTCGCGCCATGAGCAAGGAGTAATCGAGCAACTTCGACATGACCTTCCATTGCAGCTTCCATCAGAGCAGTATGCATTTCATCAGTACGATGTTCGTGATCGGCTCCTGCAGTCAACAGGAAACGGACCATTTCCGCATGACCCTTTGAAAAAAAGCACTACCAGAATAAGAAAACATCTACTTATTTTGTTTTCGAGTGTTTGATGTGAACAGTATTAGTAGCATAACTTGTAACGCGACATCTTTCTAATAGATCTTGTATTTTACATACACCTTAACGATATCCATTAAAACACCTGTGCGAACTGCAAGTGGATGCAACGTAAATCCATGTGATAATCTGTGAGCTCTACGTCATAAAGGTCGATTGTACTGTTTTTTCGCCCAAATACTCAAGTAGATGAAGTTATATTTGGGTGCATGACTAACTGGCTAAGACAGGTGTTTAAAAGTATGGGCCGAACCTCTATGCAGAGGATGTACCAGACAAGAAAACGGGAAACAGATGGGATTACTACGCTTAAAACAGCACACCAACCAGCTTAAATATGGTGCTCACATCGTTTAAATAGGAAAAATTTGACGTAGCAGTCTAGCTAGAGCATCCACAAGTTACGACTCTACATTTAGATAGGGGTCGTAAAACACACGTCACCTATACTTAATGGAACTGGTCAAGGAACGTGATGGAGAGCTAATTTTACCAGATCACAATTCCCTGACATAGGTCAACAGTAATACCAAGAAAAATCGATGGCCAGGGACGAAAATACAAATATTTCATTTATAAGAAAACGACTGTTTTGAGAGGAACACCCAGACAGCAGCTTTTCAACTGCAACCCCTATCCAAATTTGGGACGAAATATAACTGTCTCAACTCATGAAACAAGTCTATAAATTAGATGTGTTATGATTCTCAGTGTTATTTGATACAAAAAGAATAAGACCACAAATAAAGAATGGTACTTGAAACCAGACAGTCCTTTATACAAACTAAAATAACTGCACAACATTATGCTTGCAATCCGTTACATGCAGCGTAAGACAGAATTTAAATCCTAACAGTTGTTTTAGACTTTAACTTCCTAACACCTGATAAACATGTTCACTAATGCAACTAAAAGCCAGTGTCCAAAGAATCGAATTATGCGAGAATTTTTGCTGATAGATTTCAATAGGAATATCGTACACATACTTTGTAGCTTGCCAGAGTTAGTGCGGATTCCTTGAACTCCGCTGAATGTGTGTTAATATCGCATCCATGTTTTATAAGGCAACGAGCGACGTCTACGTGCCCGTTACTTGTAGCTTCCATTAAAGGTGTATGACCCGTATCATTTTGAACTTCCATTGGGCTATTGTACTGTAGCAAAAGGCAAACACACTCCAAGTGACCGGAAGTAGCAGCATAATGTAGTGCAGTATTTCCTGTGTTTGATTTTTGGGCAACACATGCTCCATGCTCCAACAGCAACTTCACAATATCAGTATAGCCAACACTAGCAGCTTCCATCAATGGGGTGCACTCAACTTTCTTACCACGAAAGTTTGGATCAGACTACAAATTGAGCGTTAAAATACCAAATATGTGGATGTACCCCATGTTTTAACAACATCTCCACAATCCGCACAGCATTCGAGGATATGGCACACGTCAGTGCAGTTTCTCCATCTGGTGCAACTTCATTTACATCGCACTCACCCGAAAGAATGAGCAGTTTAACAGCTTCATCGTCACCGTTGATACACGCAAGAATCAGCGACGAGGTCCGCCTGACAAATAAACCCTGGAAAATGTTAATTTACCCATCATCGTCATTCATAGACAACACAGCAACCTCTTTCCTGATTTCATTTAGTACCTCGGTATCTGATATTCTCCGGCCATCTTTAATTAACATGTTTTCAATCCCAGCAGCTTGAAGAAACTTTCTAAAGTTCAGCTGTGTTTCAGGACATAAATCCGGTATAGAATTCTCGAACTAAAAGCAAGAATTTTGTCAGAAAGGCATATTTAAATCGTATATGTAAATGAAGATTGACATAACAAAGCTAGACGTTGAGGTGAACTCTCAGGTTAACACGAGCATAATAAATTATTAGTGAGAATAGTGAGGATATGAAATGATCATAGGCCTAAAACCAATACAAACCAGTTCCTGACCTTAAAACTCTGAAAATCCCCCATTTTCAAGCATCCAACTTAACGAAGTAACGTAACAACACACCGAATCACTTCCAGTCGAATGTACCACGGTGTAGTTAAAATGAACCTGTGTGCTCACCATTACCATGTGCTTCGGTAGTCATTGAAAATATACCCTTTGTAGTGTTGACTATATAGTTATTTATTAAAATGATTGCTATTTGTATTACTTATGTTCATAATCACAGAAACTCAAGAGATACATGTTACGATCAATAGTTCAATAAAGCAGGATTATCAGAAATGACAGGCGTAATACGAACGCTTTCAAGAATACGTATGAATCAAAGTTCTTCGAAGTGGTAGGACACAGTGTCAGTGTTGAAATCATTCAGGATATGTTATTTTGAAAAGTATCGTTTGTAGTCTGAAATCTTTAGGAGTCAGATTAGATGTTCAACGACAAAAGACTAGAGGTATTTCTAATAAATTCATCAGTATGTACCTGACAATGGAAGATGACAAGATCACAAACAAATGGAGTATGAGTTTTTCAGGTTCTATTAAAGGTATTTACAACAACTGAGGAGGATTGTCACACCATAACTCAAGAGATAAAAAGAACATACACGAATCGAACTGCTGTACATAGATTGCGTCTTCTCGTGACAACGCAACAAAAGTACTTATCCTAGAAATCATGAGGACGGAGACTTGGAGTTCATTGAGGTATTTTAGAAAATGGGAACAACAATAGCTTTTCAGTAATTTCGAATAAAGTGAGCATTGGGTAGATTGCTATAAATAGATAATATATTTATAATATCCCGGTGAATGAAAAAATTAAATTTTCTGACGTTCCGCGACTCGTTGTAAACCACTTCTTCAGAAAATCTAATTTTTCTACTCATTGCGATATTACAAATGTATTATTTATTTATAACAGTCTTTCAAATTTAAACAGAGTAGTAACAAGAACCAGAGATGGTAAAGAATTTATAACCTAATCGCATTTCCAAGCATTCGACTTGAACTAAAATACACTCCTGGAATATTTCGACGGCTCTCGAATAATGTATTCCTAGTCAATCGTCTTATGCATTTATATGTTGGTGGCTGATATATGGTAAGCCCAGAAAAATAAACATGTAGCAGTAAACAGTTCTATATGTCCTCAGAATCGATGTAGGTCTCATCAGTTTTACTAGACAGGCCCCAGCTAAAAGCAACCGCCCATGCATCTGTACCAGAAAACGAGTGAGTATGCGGTGCTACACATCCTTTACAACTGCTAGCAAGTTTAAATCAAACACTTCTCGACACTTCGATAGCTTTCTAAATGTTTTAGATCCCTTTGACTTTGTGATATCTGAAACTTTGGTTGTCTGGTACACAAACAATAAACTGTGAGTCTATTCAATGTTGTGACATTATATATCATCTTTCAACTATTACTTATACATGTTGTGACATCGTTTCTATATTTTCGAAAATTTTCCCTCCGATTTGTAAATCGTATCTTCATTGTGATGGAGCAGATACCAAGGTTGTTTAGGATTAGGACTATTTCACCTTACACCTTTCAACTCATTCCATTCTGCTCCGGTAGTATCAAATCTGATTCCGTTGAGCGAAAGATGATTTCCACGAACTTTATGACACTTTGGAGAAGGCTATCCTCAAACTTGAAGAGCTGAACGACAGACAAAGGTTGGACCAACTTTTCTACAACATTAAGCTCTAGTAACAGAAGTGTTGCCGCGTATGCGCGAGGTCACTGGTAAACGGACCTTTGATGATACCTGCTGAGACAGCACTTCTTGTCTAAGCTTCCTCAACAGATGCAGAAATTTCTTATCTCATTTAAAAATAACGCCGTTGGTGGACTGGTTGCATCTGTCAACCGGATCCTGGAGATCATCAGGACCCCCAGCTCTGAATCATCAAAAATTTATGCCTGGTCTCTTGAAAGTGATTCTGAAAATTTATTATTCTACAGAAAGAATCAACGTTATTTTACTGAAGAGTAAAATAGGGAGAACCAAAAGTATTTAATAATCGCAATACTTGATTCTGAATCTCGCCCGTTTTTATCTGTTTGGGATGCATTTGTGGTCCCGAAATTTTAACTTGATTTGTTAGTACTTTTGATCTTAAACCCTCTGGTTTCTATCACACTTCAGTTTAACATTTGGAAAATTTCGCCATGAGAACACAAACATTTTGAGGTCCATTATGAAAACTGTAACAATGATTTCTGGGAAACATATTTGGGTTGATATTTCACAATTCTCAAACAGAATCTCGGTTCGTAGATTGGAATCCGGCTTACTCGTTAATTGAATCAAGTGTCGTGAATGTGTCAATCGACCGTTCTTCAATAACGGATATGAAGTTGATGGCTACTTGACCTAGCTAAATGGGAGCCTATTGGCACAACTTCGACGGAAACTTAATACATCTTTTAATAACACATTATACACCGAAAATAATACATAAATGTCGCAGTAAAATACAGCAAGATAATTAACACTTACAAATGTTTCGATAGAAAAAATTACAGCACTTCTGAATGTCTGCCAACACACACTGCCGTCCAGTTATCTCGATTAACCGCTAAGAAATTATGGCCATTCCGTGAACAGATAATGGTTGCTTGATCGATGGAATAGAATAGGATCAAATGACAATGGTCATCAATATTATCGATGAGAAATAAACACTGGCAGTATCTGATTTATTGCCACTTTGTCTTAGTTTCCGAAAAAGTAATCCAAATCGGGTGAAGTTGTTTATGTCCAGTGTTAATACTACATACATCTGCTTCGTAACGTTGCTATGCGTGCAAGTTTATATATTGAAAAAGACTATAAAAATGAACTGACGCGTTCCCATACTTGTGCTTGTAAACCTTGAAACGCTGTATGAGTGGAAAAATTATTGGTGAAAACGGACATCACACACAACATATACTACAGCGAAATGTTCCTTCTAAAGATCGGACAAGACTTCGGTCACAGTGATGTAGTCAAATATCTATCTAAAATATAAAGAGAACCGTTATCTTATCTCTCCTGTAACTAGTTGAATGACTGGAAGAAATACTCTGAGATTTAAAACCGTGGTTATGAAATTTCCAAATTTTTCTATATGACCAAAGTTCACTTTATGTTCTTTTATTTGTTAGCGACCTGTTGTTAAACCCAGAATTCCTTGAGTTTTGGAGAACCTGTGACTCTAGTGCTTGTAGTCCCTCCCCTCTTGTTGTAAATACATCAAAAGACGATAATAACCAAGAACATCCCTATAACAACATGACAAAGAATCAATAAGATGAAAAAGAGATACTGTTAGAAAAAACTTATGTACATATTTAACTAAATCTGTCTGAACAATACCTTTCCAACGGGTACAGAGGCCTGGTTAAACCTAGCTACCACAAGAGGAAGAATATTCCTACCAACCAAGAAATAATATTCTTCCCAAAGAAAATGGATAGGCTGATTCGAGTTGCTCCAATTATGGGAGATCAGCCATAGAGTGATAGTTATACATGAAACACAACCAGTTACAGGTTATCAATAGCATACGTTACCAAAATCAACAGATAGTACGCTTCAATATCAGTACTAGAGAGAGAGGAAACCGTCAGTTAACGTGGTAATAACCGAAGCACAGTAATTTAGTATGACTATCCCCAAATGACAATGCTAGACAAAACAAACATGAAACAGTTAATAAAAACTCGACGAAACCGATGATGAAGTTGATTTCGGAATCTGTAGGTTTTACAGCGATGCAATATATATGAAGGAACCGAAAAAGTTTAAACATAATATACATTATTGCAGAAGTTCAGAGTAATAGCAATACATACGAAGAGAAACAAAGAAATGTGTGACACTTAGAGTGCATGATTGGAGATTTTCACACATGTATTATGTACACTCGTTCTAGGACTCTCTTATACCTACATTAAACTGGATATCCTGACACTCATGTTAGACTCTTGAACAAAGCAAAATCGTTCACAAAATCAACACAGGGACACAAGGCCACTGAACGCTGAAGATTGGCCACACAAACTTCCCATTCTAGGTTGAGGGGCCTCTGATTTTCAAATCGTTACCAACACATAACGACTCCTATGCACCGATGAGCCACCTTATAAGCTTTTATGTAGGACACCGAAGTAATCACCCGACACTTATCTCGATGGGTCTGTAGAAACAATCGCCCATGCAGCCATATCAGTTACTCAGGCAAAAGAAAATTGAAGTTACGATATTCTGCTGGTGTATTGGAAAATACATCAATGGAACAGTATTTTAAGACTGAAGATTTTCTGTACAATATGGCTACATAACTTACCCCAGGACAACTGTAATTAGAAAAAAGCATTAAAAAAGTAACGCATGGGGTGGAGATCAGTTTCGAAGACGGAGTCGTCATGAGTTCTCACTGTCTCCATGGAATTATGGTCTACTTCGGTATTAGTACTACTATAGTAATATGACCAACTCCAAAATCGTAGATCTGTCATGATATGACCACCCAATAGATGAGACCTCACGTGGAAGTCATACCATTGTCTACAGTGACTCGTCTTACGTGACAATCAGCAATGTGACGAGTAGCACCTTCAATGAACACATTTAGGCTAGGAAGAGAATAATACATTTGACACAGAAAGCGGGAGGTTATGTGACGGCGTCTTCATGACCAAACCACGCCATTTCGAATAATTGGTTTCGAATTCACCATTGTCGACCTGCTGTTAGAGTAATATGTTGAATGTAAACCTACTAGGCAATTATACACGCATCTTCAAAGATCGTGTAGTTAGGAACCAATACCACGACACTATTCCACCACAAGAACCAAAGTGACGTCGGTTCTATACCGAATCGGGTGAGATAATAACTCTCTGGAGGTTACCAGAAAAATGAGAATACTCTAAGTATCGATAAACAGAAGGATAAATCAAAAAGAAGACGGGGACAGATGATCGGGAAATACATGTGGTAGTTTCAAAAATGCTTTGTTTAATTCTTAACACACTCCAAATGAAGACTCAAGTGAAGATCATTTAGGAGTCAATCAAAGTGGGATTATAATGCTGAAAAACTATCTAGCATAAAGATATTTTAACAAGTTACATTAAGATGCATAAGAGTAACCGCTGGTTAACCGCTTAACTTTTGGGCAGTACAAGGATTTTGTGCTCGTAAATAAAAAACAATAAATATTGTATAAATGTTTATATTGATATTATCTTTGGTTTAAAT